GAAAAATGATTGCTCTTTCAGGTTTTGAATCAAGTTTCATGTTAGACATACAGGGTAAAAAGTTATTAACTAAATTTTCGGTAAAATTGGTCGTAAGTGGCGCCCTCTATGAGCAATTCTGAAATTATAACACGCATCTTATTCGTCGCCTAAAAAAATATAGTTTCACAAATTTTCAAGTTCCTAACCTACATATTTTCAGAATAATCGCAAAAAAACGATTTAAAATTTTAACTTTCAACACCCTGTATTTCCGAAACTATCAACTTTCGGATAAGGCATGTTTGCACAAATGGTCACCATTTCATGTGTAGTATCTTCAGCTTTCAATTTTCCCATTGTTAATGAATCACCCTGTATATGTTTCACTTCATCGCTAGCAGTTTGATCGCATTCACTGTCTTTGCAAATTAAAATAGAAAATTGTGATAAACACAAAATTAAAAAATACTAAAATTATTAATTTGAAGAAATGATTAAAGATTTATTACGACTATGCAACCAGTCTATAATCGGTATTGGCCGGATAACCAGTTCAGTGACCTTATAAATGATAAACAAAAAATGACTTACCCAATACACCGAATTGGCATGTGACTCTCTGCACCCCATATAAAAGGGTATAACAGTAACCCTAATATTCTCAGTTGTCTCTTTATGTACATCTGACAGTTCTAGCCAAGGATGATTTTTATTCTGCCACGCCTTCAGTGTTTCCTGCGCAATAAACGGCGGGTCTAACAAAAAGAAAAAATGTTATCACAATAAAAGTTTCATAAAAATATCTACTCACCCCCTTTGGGATTGGGGCTTAGGAACTTATCAAACAGTTCGTGATTCAGTGGAGTTTTTTCGGCACTAACGTAAGGTATAATATCTTCATGAGCAACGTAGTCTAGACCGGGTATAGCGTACAAACTTCGAGATGATTCTTGGTTCCCTAAAAATGTGACTGCTTCTGTTTGAGCTCTCTGTAAAGCAAGCAATAGTTAAAGTTTTATATGAAACTCTTGAAATACTATACTTACAATATAAGGGCAGTCTCTTTGATCGATCAGGACCTGGTAGAAGGTGTGAGTCCTCCCTCTGACCTCCTTCCCAACGCCAGGATGGGGCTCTTCGTCACCATCCCTATGTTGAGGTATATCTCTATCGTAGACTCTGGCTAGCCAAGGGAACAGCACTACGCCTCGATATCCAAACACTCTATGCAAAATCAACTGTCCAGTCTCATATTTACCTGATACTTTGGGTGTTTCTAGTCTTCCTACCTCTGCTAACCTGGAAAAAATAGTCAATTAATAAATCACATAACCTCACCATTTCATCAAAAGCTGAAATTAATAATTTTCTGCCTTTATGGGGGTAATTCACAGTACCTCGCATAATTCCTATTCGAAGCAATTAATCTAACGGTTATTGGTACCAGCTTTTTCTGCAGGTATAAACACAATACGTCCATATTTCATCTTTGATGCGCAATACTTATTTTTAATTAGTTCTTCCAATAACGAGATTTGATTCCAATGTCAAATGATTAAGTTCATCCAAAATATTTTTGAAGATATTACTGAAATTTTTTAGTTTTTTATCAAAACTGACTGCTGGAAATGTATGGATGTTTAAAATTGTTCTAGATGACCGATGATGATAGAGATGACAGACAAACGTCCAAAATGTGTATCGCAAGTCAGACAGAATTCATGGGTGTAAATTTATTATAACATAATTTTAAAATCATTAGTGTTGTTATTGGAATTTTGCAATTATAAATAAATCAAATAATTTTAAATTAAAACAATAATTTTTTTTATTTGTTCATGGTCAGTGCTTAGTAGTTAATTGTTTCTATTAGAAACAATTCTCTTCTTCCGCCTGTCATTTGATTTTCAAAAATACCTGACCCTACAAGCCAGGGAGTCCATGCTACAAGCTTTATGTAGTGATGGCGGGCATAATCGACCAATTTTGATAATCGAGTTATCGGTAATCGAGTACTTCTAATAATCGAGTGATCACTCGAGATACGAGATATTGGTCGTTTTCATCCCAGCGGCGCACAAATATGTTTGTATTAGTCATATATTACTTATAAGCGTAGCTAAAAAAAAAAGCTCACGCTCTTCAAAACCTAACCACTTTTTCGTTTTATTCTAAAAAAAGGTTACGCAATCAGTGACTATTTGCAGTATGCACTAACATTTTGGGGTGCAACCGTAGGGTAATAATCACTTGAGTGGTGGGACTAAACATCTCGAGATATCTCGAGTGATCTCAATAATCGAGTACCACTCGATTTTTCACTCGAAATCTCCCGTCAGTCCCGTCACTACTTTATACATAGCTTATACACTCTAATCACTCTATACCACGTTCGCAACTATGCTTTGAATTTATTAATAAATTAAATAAGAAAATTATATTAAAGAATAGAAATTAAATATTTAAACATTTTTTAATGTTCCTTTAGCTTATTTATTCAATGAAAAATCTGTAAATGAATGAATCTGCCATTCAATTTTCTGTGGTTCTGTCTACCTACAATTTTGACGTATTAAACGTCAAAATAATTACTGCAATCTTGGTGCAATGATTTATTTAACCACGAAAATTGTTGTTATTACATGTAATTAAAGTACATATTATAACCATGTCAAACTACATACTAACCCAGTATTAACCACCTCGAAAAGACTGATATTTAGGATTCTACTAATAAAAAAGCTGTTAGTACGACATCGGCATATAAATTTATAAATAAACTAATTCCTTTTCAGGAAAATATGCCCGAAAACCTAGAACTTCAACAGTTAGTAGATGATGAGCAGGAAGATGAGCCAAAGATCCGAGAATCGAGGTCTTTATGCAGATGCCCATACCTAGGTTTGATCCTAGCCACTCTAAGCTCCCTATTCTTCTCTCTATGCTCTGTGATCGTCAAATGGATGACTGACATTGACCCGATGGCTCTAGCAGCCTACCGTTATCTAGGTGTACTCTTGCCAGCAATACCGATCGTAATATACCGCCAAGAAAAGGTATTCCCGAAAGGGAAACGGATAATGCTTTTGCTACGTTCATTCACCGGAACCGCTGCTTTAATGTTAAGTTTTTACGCTTTTCGACACATGCCACTGGCAGACGCATCAGTGATAGTATTTTCCGTACCTGTATTTACTGGTATTTTCGCCAGGATGTTCCTGAAAGAACCGTGTGGATTATTCAACGTATTTTCTGTTATTTTGACTCTAATCGGGGTTATTTTTATAACAAGGCCCCCTATGTTGTTTGGTAACACGATAGATTCTCTGGGCCATAACGGTCAAAGGCCGGAAATGTGGGGCGCAGTTGCAGCTTTTTCTGCAACGCTGTTCGGGGCCAACGCTTACGTTCTGCTTAGGGCTTTGAAGGGTATTCATTTTTCCGTCATAATGACGAATTTCGGCTGTTTCGCCTTAGTGCAATGCGTGCTGGTCACTATTTTGATAGGGGCGCTTTGTTTGCCTTCTTGTGGGATAGACAGGTACTTGATCGTAGCCTTGGCACTGTTCAGTTTTCTTGGGCAAATACTGTTGACGTTAGCTTTGCAAATGGAACAGGCGGGTCCTGTGGCTATAGCGAGGAGTAGCGATATCGTGTTCGCCTTTATTTGGCAGGTTCTGTTTTTTGATGAGATACCGAATAAGTTTTCTATAGGCGGCGCTATATTAGTAATGAGTTCTGTTCTTTTGACAGGGCTGAGGAAGTGGATCCTTGCTCTACCGCAGGACGCTAGCCTCAGGAGGAATCTGAGCATCCTAGCTAAATAATGTCTACAATCAAGTATATTTATAATATGGGTATGGTACTTTTATACACGTTTCTATTATATATTGCTGGGGTCGTTTTGGGTAATATCATGTTGATTATAAAGTGACATATTTTTTGCCCAGCAAATATTATATCACTAGTATATATTGATAACATACTTTTATGTTGGAGTTTGGTGTGGAAAATATTACCTCGTTATTCTTAGTGAGATGTTTTAACAAGGCCAGTGCAGAATCTCGAAGCTAGTCAGAAAAAGTGTTACTATTTTGTTACTAATCGAATGTTAATTTTAAAAAAGTTGTGCTGTGTACATTTTCTATAGAAGTTTAAGTTTTGTTTTGTAGTGTATGGTAGAGTAGGGAAGATTTCTACATTTTGATGTGAAATTATATTTTTTTTGTAAATATTGTCCCTACGGCAAGAACCAAGTAAACATTAGGCAGATACTTGTTGGAGGTCATTTTTTCTCAAAAAAATCAAATATTCCACCATAATATTGTGTACAAAGTTGTAAAAAGAATTTTGGTACATTCAACACTTAGATTATGAAGAGCTCTTATTATTTTTGTAGATTCCTAGATAATTTGATAGCCGTTAGGAAATGTCGATTACAACATTTATTTCAAAGAATGCGGATGTCGTCGTATAATTTTATTTCCTAGTATTTACATTTACCAACGCACAGTGCACTTTTCTATCACTTACATACTCTCCAATATCAAAAAGCTCTAGTCACTTGCTCCAATAAATCGTGTTGTATATTTTTTGTCATTTGTATAAAATAAGTTTGACCATTTAGATGTATTGGTTTTATTTAGAAATGTGATATAATGAACCTATGTACTTAACTTGCTCGTAATAAATTTGCTTTTATCCAGCCACAGTATTTTATTTATTATGAAAGCTAACAAAAATACGATAAACACATTTATTATTGAATACTTTTTGGCGCCTAAATCAGTTTTGTGCACGCTTGTTCAATGTAAGCACATATATTTTCTGGAAGATGGCGCTACCTTAGCGTGTCAGGTACAGCTAACTACAATCACTATACAAGACAGTTCAACCATTGTGTAAAAGGTAGCGCTGTGCGAGGCAGCGTACTGTAGTACCAGATAAATTTCGGACATATTTCGATAGGTGGCACGGCTTAAAAAGAAAATAATTTAAGAATAAAGTAACAGATGGCACCAAATCATCAGAAAATCAAATTAAATTATGTTTTAATTATAACGAATAACGCAATATAATGAAAAAGCTTTTCATTAAAACTAATTGAGTAAAATTTTAGTTAAGTACTTAAAATCTACGAATTCAGCATATATTTACTAATAACCGGGAAAAAACGATTGAATTTTAATTAAGTAGGCCCATTTGAGGGTCCTGAAGACTTTATTTATATGTATAATAATGGTAGAATGGTACAGTCATAAACAATAGAAAGATATATGATGCCTAGCCTAGCAATCCACAATCCACCATATAACGGGGGCTAGGTAGACAAAAAATATACTAAAATTTCGCGATTTTTTTGGTTGAAGTATTTTCACTGAAATCGGAATAGAATTTGCTAGTCCCGAAAACTTATACTAGTTACATAAAATCATACTTTTCATAACTGATTACATAAATAGCTATTATTGCCTTATTTTAACAGTTTTTGTTAAAAATTGTCAGTTTTTGAGGCTTGCCTTCTTAGATTTGTCGATGTCGACCGTGCTGCCCCCTAATAGCTGTTATTGCCTTATTTTAACAGTTTTTGTAAAAAATTGTCAGTTTTTGAGGATTGCCTTCTTAGATTTGTCGATGTCGACCGTGCTGCCCCCTAATAGCTGTTATTGCCTTATTTTAACAGTTTTTGTAAAAAATTGTCAGTTTTTGAGGATTGCCTTCTTAGATTTGTCGATGTGCCCCCTAGTCACGGACGGCTTCAGTTCTATAAAATTGTGACAATGTCAACAATTAGACGGAGCCTCTATAATCACTAGTCTATCCAGCGGTGTCGGTATGAAAACTGTAAATAAAAAGTTAAAAATACAAGCTTTATTTTTCTGTTGATGTATTATGTGATGATGTTGCTGTACTTAAGGCAAATAAATACTTAGTTTATACATATCAAGAGCATTTGATGAATTAACGAAATGACAAAAGGAAGAAGAGCAAACTAAACGAAATAATTTGGCAACAAAACAGCGCCCTGTTGAGCAAAGTGACTAATACAACGTCAGATACGGCCCTGTTGCGATTCATATGATGTCATTCGTCCCATGTAAAACGAAAATCGCTCATTATGTTCCGCTTTTTCACAGACCTCCGAGCTTATGGGCGGTCCCCATATTTCTCTAGTCATCGCATTTAAAAGTATTAAACGGATATTTTTAGTGTGGTGTAGGTAGAATTGGCTCAGTTAAAACAAAAGACGCGCTGCTAGCGCTGCCACCACCCACTGCGACGGCCCGCCAACAAATGAAGCGCGCCACGTTACCGCCATCATGGCACCTACGATGCTCTCTCTTCGGGTTTCTCACGCGTCATGATCCAGGTGGCGGTGCCAAGGGGGCCCCCGTGAATTTTAAGCGTTTATTCACCATCGACGGCGTTACGTAATGATATGCAGAAAAATTCATAAAAATGGAAAGGTTACAAAATTCCTCTTTGCGCTCTACTTTAGTAATAAAAATGACTAAATCCATCTATATCGGTTTCATTTAAAGGAGGAAATACACATGCTTCTTGCTTGCACAATAACATGCAAGTAGTTTGCAGAAGATAGCTCCTGGTATGTGTATTTATTAAAAGGCATGCATGTAGAAGGCGCGCAAGTAAATTGCACATCATTTGATTTTTTGGCATGCAATGTGAGGCGGGGGGTTTCGGGGGAGTTCAAGTGACATGTCGGAACGTGTCTACTTGCTACCTACTGATATGCCAATAAGCCATAATACTAACGAGGCATTCCATTTTACTTGCAAAAGTATCAGCAGTGTGCCATCCGCCGGCATATGCCATTTATTGGCATGCAAGTTACTTACCTATTTTACTGGTATGTGTATTTCCACCTTAAATTTAATGAAGTAACGATATATTTACTAGAATTACATTTGTATGTACATTTAATGCTAAATTTGGAATGGAATGGAAAAATAAATGATTCAGTTAATAAACAATAAGTGACGCATTAAATTTCAGTAAATACACGATAGATGGCGTGCGATACATCAGAAGTTTAGGAGCTATACAGCAATATATTTTTAAATACATACCTAGTATTATATGCAATATTACACACATTACAAGAATTTAGATACTTTACCACCAACACAGTTACTTAATGATATGTTACACGGCATAAAGCTACAAGTTCATAAAAGTGGAAATGTTACAAAATTCCTCTTTTCAAATTTACAGAGAAACGCAGACTATGGGTCGATTGTGTGTTTCTACTGTAATAACCTGTTTAAAGTTTAAATTCCGCGTGAATTTGCGTAGTTCATAGAAGAAGAAGAAGAAGAAGGAGGAGGAGGATGAGGAGGAGGTGGAGGAGGAGGAGGAGGAGGAGGAGATGAAGAAGGAGAAGATGAAGAAGAAGAAATCTTGGGATCAGGTGTTTGGTGTTCTTAGTTTAGTTTTAGAGGTTATGTTATATAGATACTGCAAGAAGCGTTGTTATACTTTAGTATTTATGTAGAATAATAAAGTTGTTTTTAAAGTAAACATTGTGTGTGATTTCTGGATCGACCTCACAAATAGATCTTCACTACGTAAATTTTTAATTCTGTAAGTTACGATTAACTTGTAAGTAACATATTTACAGAATCGTAAATTATACAATTCTGGAACCATCCTACTAATATTCAACCTGTAACGATGCTAATTACAGAGATATAAATGAACTACTGCAACTTCACTTCACTGAATGAACGGCTGACTTTAACCTTAAAAATTATTTTGCTCACAAAATGTTTTTTTATATATATAAAATGGGACGAGACCATAGAGTCTATGGTCTCATCCCATTTTAGACCTTATAGTTTACTAGGTCTATGGATGAGACATATCAATTTTTATATTTATAAAACATAAAAATATAAAGCATATTGGTAAGTGTGCTACGCATATTTTTACAGTAGTGGTAAAGTTTTAACAGCTCGAAAGAGACCGATGGTATCAAAAATATCCTTTCATCACATTAAAAGAAATTGCAATTGCACTTACCTTTAACGAAAATATTATTTTATCTTTACAATTAAAATTATTCAGTAAAGAGAATAGATATGATATAACATAAAGTGACATATGATTTAACAAGTGTTTATGGCAAAATCTCTCTAAGATGACGAAATAGCCCCCAATATTTTGTCTTTTTCTAACCTCACAAAAAGATCTTGTAAGTTGTTTCGATGACATTAAGTTCAGTCGAAAAAAGTTACGATTACATAAAAGTTTCTGTAAGCTACACGTAACGTAGAATTGCCAATTGTCTGTAAGGTTATAAAAGGATTTGCTTAATTAATAAAACAACCGCCTAAATGTATTTTGTCCACATTTTAATTTAATAAAGTGAGGAAATATTTACTAACATTTAGATTTGTATGTATGGTTAATGCCAAATTTTGAACTTCTAAAATTTAATCTAGCTAACGAACAATAGGTGGCGCTCTTATACCTCAGCGGTCAGACAATAGAAATACATAGACAATAGTAATAGACAATACTTTGATACTCATAACTGCATATGTAATATTACAAAAATTTACAGGGAAACACAAATTTTTTGATGTTTTATCAAGATTTTCGTAACACAATTACATTTCTACCCGCTCTCCTTCCGTGATGTAATTAAATGAAATCTTGGACGGCCCTGGACGCGGTCGTTCGACCTGCCACTTGGCGCCACCAAACAAATGTTTCGCATTCCCCCGGTGAGAGAGAGAGAGGCCCGACGAAATCTGGTCATCTAAGCAAATCACCTGTACAGGGTTATTGGTGGACTCGGTGATAGGGATAAGTTATGGTTGCCCACGGAGCGAGCTGGGCAGGACCGGCGTCGACCCACAAATCCTCCTGTTGGGACGTGTGAAAGTAAAAGGTATCGGTACTCTCCCTATAAAGGGTGTTCTACAAGCTCTATTTTTTTCTTACATCATCATAGAAGTAGGTATTGACAGCAACCTACCAGATAATGTATCAATAGAAATTAAAAATACACAACTTGCAGTAAAATATGTTTTATTTTTTTTCTCAAAAACGGTGCATCCTAGGAAAAAAAATGAACAGAGCAATTTCATTCAGAATTGATGGCGAATTTCTAAAGAAATGTCAAAACGGGAAAAAGTCAATGGCATTTTTTATTTAAAAAAGGTTGTGGTATTGCCGCACGAACGCCACTCGTGCAGGTAGACATATTCGGATCACCCCAAAAAATGCACAATTATCCCTCCAAACCGTTCAAATTTCGAGTCAATATCTTTAAAACTCTGAAATAATTAACAAAAAATATATAAAAAATTAAAATTTAAACACTCGGAAACGAAGCATATTTCAACCTACGTTTATATGGACTTTTTTTCACAAAATAACTGCAGCAACCACCCCCTACACCCTGTAAATGGTTTCATATAAATTAATTTTTAGTTTTCTTATTCATCCATTTGGTACCTATATTGTATGCTGTAATTTCACTGTTCATCGGATTGTTGTTGGAAAGAAATTAAATGCGGCCTTAAAATGCCCCTAGATCAAACGGTTTTCCTCTTCGTAAAAAAAATATCTCTAGAAAAATTATACCCCTCCTTGCAATCAGAATTTAGTCTCTCTCTTCAGTAAAATTTTTTCAGATCTTTCAAAGAGAGCATTTGTTTAGGCAAA